TTGCTTTTTATGACTTTTCCCTCCATGAAAGCCTGATGGGGTATTGTTCTCATTCTGCCAGGGCAGCAACGACACACTGTAGGAGTTTCAAATTGATAACATAGGTGTATCTGCTAAAAATCTCAGATAAGTTTGCATCTCAGTGAACTTGTCCTCAAGGTTATAGGTCACAGGTCAAGCTTTCTGAGAATCTTGTGAATGCAATAACTCAAGAAAGAAGTCACCTAGGATTTTGAAATTAATACCTATGTGTATCTACTTGGAGGCTGAGGAGTACCACTGGCTGCTGAGAGTATTTTTCATTTTGGACATGATGAGCACAAAGGTGACACATTAGTGCAGTGGTTAGCACATCCTGGACTCAAATTCACTGGCCAGCTGGGGCCTTCCTGTGTGGAGTTTGTATTTTATCCAGGTGCCTCTGTGGGTTCCCCCTGGCTTCCTCCCACAGATCCAAGACATACATGTTAGCTTAGACTAGGTCACTTGGATCCTAAATTGGATGTGAGTATGAATGTCAGTGTGAATGAATTGGCATTGCTAATTTCACTAACGTATACCTCCTCTGTCCCTTTGCCTGTGAACTAGATATCAATCTCAGTATGCCATGCTAAAGGGTCTATCAATCTGTAAAATGCATCTGGAGGTGAGAAGAAAGAGGAAGCTTGCTGCAGGAGCTATAATCGAGGGTGGGCAAGCGTACCTGCAGCATGTACATGAGTCGTAACCCCTAGCTGCAATGTACAAACCACTGCAAGAGGAAGACTCATTGAACAACTTGTTTTCAATGTTTCCATTATTTAAGCTGATCAAACTGCTTCTGTGTTGGATTAGAAAAGGTAAATCTTTCACATTGTGCCATGTGGGTCCTAAATATAAAAAACTCCAACATGCACTATTAAATCTGATAGCGTGAACGGCAACAGTAGTCGGGTTTTAAATAAAACAATTCATGATGCGGTTGTGCCACGCATCAAACTCAGCAATGCTTTTAAAATGAGGCTCCAACGCAAAGGATGTCTCATTTATTAAATCCCTGTTACCTTGGTTTCTCTCTCCTCGTGTCTCTTCTGCTTCTCCTCTACTCACATCTTTGGTGAAAAGGGACAGAGGCACAAGGAGAGGAACTGAGGATACAAGAAATGAGGATATTGTATCTGTGTTAACCCTGACTGGCGACTTGTTGCTCCAATGGAAAGGGCAGTAAGCATAAGAAGACTGTGTGGGTGAAGCAAGAACATTCCCCGCTCAGTTTCTAATGCCTTCAGCGTCACCGTAATTCACCAGCAGAGGGAGCCATGTGTCTATAGATGGCAGAATTTCAGGCTCTGAACTGACTTTGGATGTGGAGGAGGAGGAGGTTTTGTCTCGAGTTTGTCTGGCAAACATTAGTCATTAGTGCAAAACTACTTGTGATTAAATTCCACCCTCTTTACTGTTTTTCCAGTGTAGGTTGGATATTGTTGATATAGAGATGTGTGTGTGCAGAAGTCAAAATTTGCTCAGTGAAGGTGGGTTAACCGGTTTGTCTGCAAACATAATGGTGGAAGCACACTAACACGACCTTCACTGTTGTTGCCTTGGAGACACGTTGGATGTGAAACGTTGCTTCGGTCCTCAGATCGTGCCAATCTTTTTGTATATTATCATCCAGAGAAAAGATCGGCTTTCTTCCTTTTAAAAGTGTACACTGTCCTTCAGCACGTAAGACAAATAAATTATGACTTTGAAAGGACCAGAGACTGATGCTATACTATTTGTTTGCAAGACTTAACGAAAAAGGCCTTGGCTTCTTTTTTTTTATTATTATCGTAGGTCAGTGTTCTTAAACAATAAAATCAAAAGTTTTGGGTGCCAGTTTAGCTCAGTTGGATGCGCAGGTGCCCACATACTACATGGTTAAGAGCTGCCGGCCTGGGTTCAAGTCTGACCTGTGGCCCTTTGCTGCATGTCTCTCTTTCCTGGTCAGTGTTCACTGTATCTGTCTAGTAAAGTCAGAGAAAGTCAAGTCTTATAATTTCATATTTATGGGACCGCTGCCCTTCCTCATACATCCGTGGGATCACCTTTTTGGTTTTTACATCTCTGTCAGACAGCAAAAATCAAGTCTGTGATATAGGTCACATAGGGAACTTGAACTGGACTGCATCTCACATGGCGATAACTTCAGCTTCACTTTCTTCTTGTCATATACCAAACACATCCTCGCCAACTGCTGTCTCTGACATGTCAGTGCTGCTGCTTCTCTGCAACGCTGCTTGCTGTTTCCTCCATCTTTGTGTTAATTCTTTCTTGTTTGGATGGCTAATAGGAGTGACCTATTAGCCATCTCTTTCTCTTTCTCTTACTAAACTGAATGGGTTCTGTAATATTTCAGGCCTGCTTCTATAACAAAGTAATGGGTGTGCCTCTGAAGTTACTGAGATTGATCTGTGCCCATACACCTTACCAGGGCTCGCCTTTGAAAACCACCTATTCAAGTAGGGCTGTGCGATATGACCAAAATCTCATATCCCGATATAAGAATTCTATCGTCCGATAACGATATAAATCACACAAATGTGACATTTTCTGTAAATTCTGTGAAGCTGGACTTGCATGAAGTGTTTCCAGCTGCACGTCATGTAGCTGGAGTCGAGTGTTTTAACCGATGCATGAAACGATAAATTTTTAGACATAAGTTGTAACAGCCTCCGAGTATTTATTACACAGGGTGCTGCGGTGAAAAGCCTGTTCTAACGTCTGAGTCTAAGGTTTATTTTTTAGCACCTGGCGGCTTTTTTTTTTTTACTTCTCATCCGTAAATAATCTGCTCTTTCACGTGATTCAGTTTATTTTGAAAAGTCTCAACAGGATCTTGAGCTTTATTGTGAAAGGTTTATGTGGAACATAAACAAGCGGACACTTGTTGCTAACCATAATGCATAACAACAGGCGCTTGTCCGTCCATAGTGTGGTTATATAAAATATAAGAGAAAGAGAGAACTTTAAGAATTTAATATAGCCACTACAGTGTCCATCAAAACGATGCAAAAATATTGCCGTAAACAGTTTATTTTGCGACACCACGAAACAAACGATAGCGTAAAATGAAACGATAGACGTTTTTATATCGTCATCCGATATATATCGTTATATCGAACAGCCCTATTGTCAAGCCATGTTTTCATTGATGTATACTGAGTGGAGGTCATCAAATGCCATCTTTATGACAGAAAGAGTGAAATAGTTAAACTAAGATATGAACATGATATCTTCACAAAGAAAAAAAAGTGAGTTACCTAAAATGTGACGTAAAACACAACCAGGTTGTGTTAATACTGCAATGCTCACCTTATATCCACAAAGTGTTGTATTTAAAGTTTTTGTTCAAACTGAACAGTGTTAAATATTATTGTTTGCATTTACTAGTCTGTGCTATACTGTACTACTGGCTCTGAATGGGCTTCTGGGATTTGACTTGGCTTCTGGTGACTGGAGCATTGCTGTGTGGAGTTTGCATGTTCCTTCTGAGCTTACGTAGTTTTCCTCATGGTTCATCCGTTTCCTCCCGCAGAACAAAGAAAGGTAATCAGTGACTGGGATGGCTTCACTCTTCCCCTTGAAATTAATTTGGATAAGCAGCTATGAAAATGGATGCATGCGTCTTTTTCCACAGTTTGATTTGTTAAAAAACAGCTCCTAAATTGACCGACTGTCAGGCAACACAAGTGCTATATCAGTGATAGCCAGTAGTGACCAGTGCTTCCTTGGGTTTTAAGGCTTGACTACTGGCTGTAATCTTATATTTAGCATAGTAATGACATTGTTAATAATATTTTCATCGAACTTGAACACAATGTAGGTACCAGCCTTATCTCCATTGTGGCCACACAGAGCATGAATATGAATCATCCAACTTTAGACTATATGAGAGTTTATTAATTTATGTCTTCATATATAATTTTGCTCTCATCCTCCTTCATTTAGAGGGTTTGATAGCACTGCACTGCACCTAAAGACCAGACAGAGAAAAAAAGACAATCTAAGTTAAGAAAAGCCAGCAGCAGTGCTGTGTCGTTGCTGTCACAAATCAACTGTATTTGGATGTTTAAAAGAAAAAAATGTGATGTTCAGCTTTTGGCTTTTTTGAGTGCTTTAAACTGAGAATCAGGAGATCAGAGTTTGAAATGTGTTAAACTGTCAAATGTATTTTCTGAAAAAAACTACAGCAAATTGCAGATATCTGTAAATCTTCTGCATTTGTTTTTGTTTTTTTGTTTACTGTAAAGATGCTGCCGGCGCAGCAAGCCCAGGGTTTGCTCCTGATGACATCATGGATAAAAATCTTATTAGTCTTAAGCAAATGTCAACAAATTGTCACTGAGCTACTGCAGATCACAGGAAGCGCGTTATGTCAGTTGTGCTTCAAGGCAGTTTCTTTTTTTTGTTTAGAGCCACATAGAAATATAGCGAGAGAGAGAGAGATGTCCTCATCACGACACTGCCAAGAAAGCTGAGTCATGTAAGATGAGAGAAAAAAAGAGGCACAACGATGGCTATAAAAAATGAATAGGATGGAAGGTTTTTAAGCGTAATGCGCGAGCGGAGGGAGGAAATATTTCTGCAAAGGCTCGCTGGCGTTGAGTCCAGGTGAGGGCAGATAAAAGAAGCTGTGATAGACGGCGTGATAGCGTGGAGGGGAGACGTGCAGTTTCTAGCTGTTAATGTGAGGATTTGGAGCAGTGATGACACGCACGAGGAGAAGCGAGTGATAACGTGGCAAAAGGTGGGGAGAGGCTGTGTCATTGTTGGTGAGCTGGGATATAAATATATTGTACACACACACACACACACACACACACACACACACACACACACATATGCGTAAAGAGGAAGAGAGTGACTGGTGCGGCAACAGGAACCACATGAGCAGCAGGGAGGAGTCGCGAAAGGAGAGGCGTCACGGCAGATAAAACTCCACGCCCCTCGCTGCCGAGCATCCATTTACTGAGCAGCTGATGTCTGCTGCTTCACTCAGCAGTAACAGAAGACAGCAAGAGAAAAAAATACAACAGAGCTCTGGAGCTACCGCTGGATTTTTAATGGGGAATAGGCAGCAACCTCTCCTCAGGATGGAGCATTTATGAGGAGGCTTGCTGTGCCAGTCTTGCAGGAAATGTCCACATACTTAGCCTTAGAGGGAAGGAGGATTTCTAACAGAGTAGCTGACGCTGCTCTTTGGGGCATGAAAACTGTGTGAGGAGCTCCAGGAGAATTTCCTCCGATTAACCGGAAAGCTTTGATCTTCTCGCAGCTTTTTTTTTCTTTGTTTTTTCTCTCCACGTGATCCAACCTGTGGTTCCACAGGTCAAGGCGAAGTTTAAAACATGACCGCCATGCAAAAGCTGCTGCAGCTGCCGGTGAACGCGGTGAACATGGTGAAGACCGTGCAAAGTCAGGTCCAAGGCCAGGAGGAGGACAAGAGCCCCGTGCTGACTCCCGATAGCGGGCAGCAGGCTTGGTACAGCGCCCTCCAGCCTGATGAGCTGCGCCACCTCCGATCTGGAGGTACAGGTGGAGGAGGAGGAGGTGACCAGGAGGAACGAGCCCCACTGGAGGAAGGTGGTGGAGGTGGTTTCCAAACTCAACCGCTGCGGTAGGATGAGAACTCATCAGTGCTAGAGTTAAATAAGAGAGTATTTAGCTGCTTCTCTTCCAGGGCAGATTTCAGTGAATGCAACTTGAGAACAAGATTAAAATGTCAAAAATGGGCTAACAGGGTGCTTAACAGTGTAAAAGTGAGTGTTAGCGGCCCGATCCAGTCTTTACTTACTATGTTTGCCTCCTGTTGCTTAGACGTCCTGTAGAACAAATGGCACGGGCTTTACAGCAAGGCATTAGTCTGCTGGTTAAACATGGAGGAAATCTTTTCCAGGAACACCCATGGAAAATTAATTGATTTAGCCGAACTGATCTTAATGTCACCTGACCATGTTGACTCACTCAAATACTTCTCCATACTTGCCACTTAGCTGGCTGAGCAGTAATCCAAGCTTCATGTTCTTTAAAGATCTGATCTTTAAAGTTTGTGTAATATATCATATATTTATGTCACCGTTTTTTTGTCCTATTTCTTAAGAACATCACTTTCAGATATTATTCAGCTGCTGTAAATAGTTGTTTCCTCAATTTTTGGAAAGATGGAAAGCACACTGTACCAAAATATACCAAGTTTTAAGATAGTAGTTCTTTGGAAATCACCTTGTGAGTGCAGTAATGCTATTTAATGACTGTCAAACTATGTTTTCTTTGGCATTTTTCATAGATCAAGTAATGTGAAGTGCCTAAGAATACAACTTCAAATTTACTAATTTGTCTGTTATATGTAGACACAACACTAGTTCATCCCTGGTGCCTTTTTAACGCTCAAATGATTTAGCATTAAGTGGCTTAACAAACAAAATCATTGCCTTGAACATTGTCAGTTACAAGAACTGGACCAAAAATGTGTGCAAAAGCAGCTAATGCCCAAAGGAAAACTGAAGAAAGTCTGGAGAACTGCTGCTTAAGAACCCTTTAAAATATTGCAAGAAAGTCTGGCTCCTTTGACACAAAACATAAACAAATGAGATGGCAATACTTTTGCACAGTATTGTGCAGAAAAAGTTTACTGCACATTCTGAGATAGCTAGTACGTAGAGTGAATAAATAGACTGTAGACCTGCTTCTGAAAATTGGCATCATCATCATCAATCTGCTGGTTGTTTTCTCCACTAATGGCCTTGTCTGATGGCCTCAAATCAGAAAATATTCAGTTTACAAAAACATTAAAAAAAGAGACGAGTAGAAAATGCTTGACCTGGAAAAGGCGGAAACAGAAAATGTCTAAAGGAATTACTTATTAAGCTAGTTACTCGTTAATTTCCTACTGAGGCACTAATGAAATAAAAGCGCACTATCTAGGTTTAAGTCTATAAGAAGCATAAGGAAGCATTTCATGGACATGTGCAACATGTGCAGTGGTGCAGAGTAGACTTGGCTTTAAAAAGATGGGAACTGCTATCACATGTCATGGTGCCCCGGGGACCGGGTTGGTATAAATGCAGATGGATTTATTAAAGAAATTAGAAAAAGGAGTGCGGTTGTTTATTGGAATTAGGCTGAGTGTATGAATTAAAGGCCATAGAGCTACTATAACTAATTAGACTGCAAACCACTAAAATGTAAAGTCAGTGTAGCGCTCTTCAGAAGCTGTTTTTTCTTCAAGGGAGATGTAATTATACTTTCAGATTTTTATTGGGTCATACCTACCAGCTACAGCAGTTTCTTTTAATTTTACAAGACTGGAGAGGCACAGAAATTCTCTTCTGGTTGGCTTTAAGAGGCAAATTCTGCATCTGTAACTGTGGAAAAACAAGACGCGGCTCTGCTAAGAGAGACGGCTTATGTAAAACAGCTGCTTATAAATTCAAGCTGCAACTCCTCAATCTTTCACTCGCCGCTGATTCATGCAAATACATTTTCATATCTTTTGCTTCTGGTGTTATTGCACCCTGTTCTTGATGAACAAACTGACATTACACCTAAAAGTGTGTCATTAAACACATGAAACACTGGCCAAATCCCATGGAGACTTTCCAGAAGGAAGAGTCCCGCTGATCTCTTGGCGATGGTGGCAGGTAACCTGACCGCCCGTCAGCTCTGTTGTACCACACTGGGCTAAATAATTCAACGCTGGTTTGTAAATTCATCTGTTGTTCAGCAGGACAGGGTTTCCAGAGAAATGAGAAACCTAGTGCTGGTATTGAATTACTGCAGGTCCTTTGAGCTCAAGCTGGGACGTCTAAAACCAGTTAGAGGTTTATTTGTCCTGAAGTTTCTCAATATAGTCTTTTAATTTTCTTTTTTTCGTGTGTGTGTGTGTGTGTGTGTGTGTGTGTGTGTGTGTGTGTGTGTGTGTGTGCAAATAATTGAGCATTCCTGTTTGACACATTCAATGTTTGGCCACAGCAAATGTAATGAATGGTGCAGGTTCAGTTTTAATTAGGTCTTCTAAAGGCTTGTTTGTCATCAAACAGGCCACATTAATCCCTGTCACTTTATTAATTAGTTAGGCTGATCGGGGGGGGGGGGGGCAACACAAGCTGGAAAAGCAAATTGAGCCTTTGATAGGGAAGTTTCACCGTGGCTGCTAAATTTTAAAGTTGCCTTTGTCTTTAAGTCATAATTTACTGGTTTCCTGTTTTCTAGAATTGTTGCTGATAACAATCAGTAGAAGTACCACCTCTTTGCTTTCAGCCACAGGCTTTAATTAGAGGTAAAAAGAATGTGTAATTTAAGCAGTGGATATTTGTCTCATATATGGTTAATTTCTGTTATGAAAATACAGAACTTCATCTCCCATATGAACATATTTACCTTCACAGACTTGGGTTCGACTAGGATTAATCCTAATGACTTAAATAATTTGCTGACTTTCCTTTCGTGCCATCAGCAGGTTAAGGTTTACTTTTCCAGTGAAATATCTCTGCATCCACTACTTGGATGGTTCCCAGAGGATGAATCTGAATGACTTTGGTGATCCTCTGGTTTCAGCACAACCATGAGGTTAACATTTGCTTCATATCCATATGTGACATTTAGACAAACTGATTTGAAATCACAGTCGTACCTCCCACCAGATAAAGGATAATGACTTTGATACCCTGTGAAGTCTACATTTAGACTCTAGACATTTAGACAAATTTGCACTGTCATGAAATCTAATTTTTCACTTTCAAAAGAAATTGCAATAATGCTGTCATTCAGAGTCAGTGTTCGATTTTTTTTTACCAAAGTTGACAAGAGTCTGTGGCCATGACTGTACAAAAGCATACAAAAAACAATTACTCTTTGACTTACTGTATTTTAAATTTACATTTTGAGACATTTTGTGATTTATTTGCTTAAAAACACCATTATCGACAGTACACAGTTTTTGCGACAAACCTGTTTGCACTATGACCCGACTGTTGCCATGGTAAACCACATATGTGGCCTGATATGTGCTCTGATAGCACTTGATAACTGTACATAAGGTACATATTCTGCCATTAGACGCTTTTATAGCTGTTGGATGTCTTTTGAGGAGCTAGAGCAGGTCAGCGACTAACTGGAAGGTTAGTGGTTCGATCCCTGCCTGCTTCAGTATACTGAAGTATCGTTGAGCAAGATACTGAACCCTGAGTTGCTCCCACTGCATTCATTGGAGTATAAATGTTAGATAGAAAGCACTTAGGTATAGAAAATGTTGCTGTATCAATGTGTTTGTAAATGGGTGAATGAGACATGAATAAAAGAGTTGGCATTTTGTTTTATACGCCAGTTTGAGTCCTCAGTTATAGCAGAAATAAACTATAAAAGAACCAGTGCATTTACCATTTTGAGACTTGCCTTGTAATATTTTTATCTGTTTTTCACTTTTAAAGACAAAAAGGTTTTTCCCACATCAAAGTAAGTAGAAGTTGAGGTTTCAGGCTGTGTTGATAGAAATGATCACTTGTTTTAGCCAAAGGCTGTGATTCATTTTCATTATTTTAAAGGATGAAATGAGCCACTTCCTTCCCTTTCTGCTGTAAATCAACATTAGGCTGCAATATCCATTCATTTATTTTCTTGTTTGTTTTGACCAAAATATAAAAAAAAAAACAGCAAGAGTTCTGCACTTGCATCCAAAAATAATCCTTGCTGTGGTGTCTTAATGTGACAGTCTTTGATGAGTGCAGGTTTTTGAAGTGTGTGACAGAGTGAACTATATTATTCGCAATGCAGTGCAATTATTAACACTTTGATGCTTGGCGGAGCAAAAAGCAGAGGCTTTTCTTAGCACACAGACACACAAACGCCTGCGCGCACACACTTTAAACTCGGGGCAGAGTCGTGATAAACCGACTGTGTTCTGCAGCAGCCACCTCCTCACAGACTGCAAGCCTCCATTCACTGCTGTCACATGACCAAAACAGATGAATTATATTGTGCACCCCAGCAGCCTCCCACTCTCACAGCAGAGTAAGTAAAAGTTCTGCCTGCAGTTTGATTATCTTCTTTCGGAAGTCATTTGTAGCACTGGTTGGAGCCTGATTTAAATAACATGCAGTGTTGGGAGATACATTCACACTGCACAGGAAGATGATGAATTAATCACAACATTGTTCAGTTCCTCATACATTCTTTGATTTTTGAATCTTTCAGGCTCTCCTGGCTCTCATCATGCCTGGTCTGATTCATTTACCTGTAACAGATATTCTGAAATGTTTACATTTGTAAAATATCACATGTACAAATTTATGGCTCAATCACTTGAAGGTTAATGTCAACACCCTCATAAGGCTAAATTTTAAAGTTATGAATTATAAAACTCCATCTCGCAGTCCATCCATTTTATTAACTGCTTCTCGAGCTCAGGATCATGTGGAGCTGGAGTCTATCCCAGCTGTCTTAGGGCGTGAGGCACACTTGACAGGTCCCCAATGTCTAATGACTGAGAGACTATATAAACCGCGAGGGTCCAATATCTCAATAGCTTTAATTTTAATCTGAAGGAAAATGTTTTGATTTTTTTTTAATTTAAAGCATTTTGGACACAACTTCACTTACGGAGAAGATGACAAGATCTGAGGAAGTTACAGCTCTAGCAGTATTTGCAGTACTGCTTGACCAATGTGTTTTGACTTGTAACTCAAATGCAGAGCACACAGTCATATACATCCTTATACAAATCTGCCAATGAGGCAGCAACAAGGATGGGCTGAGTCTATGATTGTGCGGTTTACTGTTCCTGGCAACAAGGAGCTCTAGCGAAAACTTTGTTGGCACTTTAGCCGAAAGCTGGAAAAGTACAGCCGAGGGGTTGTTTCCCAGTTATGCCATAAGATATGGAGAATACATATAACTGTTGATTTGATTTATTAAATTGAAGGGTCTCACATGTAGGTGAGCCTCTACAGAGTGTACCACCCATTGCAGCTGGGATAGGCTCCAGCCACCTCCAGTCTGAACTGGAGAAGGATGAATGGATCTGACATGAATTATAGAAGTGTAATGATATCTTTTAAAAGCTCATACAACTAATAACATATTTAAACTTTGGTAGCAGAAGCTGTATATTGCAACCTGCATGTTGTAGTGATATAAATAAAGAACAATATTTTACATTTGCGTCTCACAGTTTAGGGGGTATTAGCCAAATTCGAAGGCCAGCACTATAATACAATATAGATCCCTTTATTTTTCAGATATACTTCAGTTAAAAGAGAAGCTTTAAGAAATACTCTCAATGCCAGCAGCGAGGTTGTTTGTGTGAGGGGAAACCCCAGTTTCGCCACATCTGAGCCTCCCATCTCTCACCTGTTCTAAAACAAGTGTGCAGTCACTCAATAATTTTCAGAGACTCTGGACTCGGTTGTTAGAGTCGATGATGATCCCACGTGGTAATACTGTCAGATGCAACAAAGGCTCTCCGGGAAACCGGGAAATCACTTAACTTCATTTTATTGCATTCTTTGTTGCCTTGGAAACCCGCTGGGGGAAATGTGCAGCAATCACTCCACCCACCACCAACTGAACTCCACCCTTCTTTTCCCATACCACCAAATGACAAGACCCTGATTCGTAATGAAAGGTCTGTCTGCTGAGAGAGTTGTCCTGTTTGGTGGTTTTAGAGTAGTTTACAGTTTTCCTTTTGTGCTAAGTAATGTCAGATTTAAAGAAACTTACTGTATGAGTGCAACTGTTTCCATAATTAGATGTGAAAACATTTCAGAAGCTGCTTTTATTGAATCATATTGTTATTGTGGGTAATTAAACAGCTGGCTGAAGGGCAGAAATTGAATAATACCCACATAACACTGCCAAATTTATATATATGTACACTGTTACTATTAAAAGAAAATAAGACTTACAAGTTGATTTAAAGTGGTTATGATTGAGGGTATTATATAGACAACTCCTCAAAGTTGTCATGCATTTCTGTATTTGTGGAATGAAAATACGTGAAGTCTTTTTGTATCTTATTTATGGGGAAGCAGCTGAATGAATGCTAAGGTTGCATGAAAATGCCATCCATCAGTATTTCAGAATTCAATTAGCCTGGTGTGTTTATCTTGACAGCTGCAGCAGTTGTTCCTGTCTGTATTGTTGTGTTGTCTTACTGAAACCAGTGTTTGCAGGTTCTCCTACAGGCAGGTTTGGTAGAAACTGTCACTGCCGTTTATTTGTGTTTGTTTTGCAGCTGGGTGGAGATGTCGGCTTAGATCTACTCAGACTGCTGTGTGAGCTGACCGCTCTGTTGTTTCTGACAGTAATGATGGATGAGCAAAGCTGGAGAACAAAGCACTGTTATACAGTAGTCTGTATGCAGATACAAAGCACAGCTGTTAGAAAATAATCTACAATAAAGCAATAAATATACTTTGCCAAGTCCAAGTTAGATGGAATTTTGTGTCATCCACATGTGGCTCCTGGATAAAAACTAGAGAATGCGTTTTCAGTTTGCTGTATCAGCATTTCGTTGGCACTCAACGATGGACAAACTGTACAATAGATGCAACAGGTGATAGAGGCAAGTATGCTAGCAGAGCTTATTGCAAAGCCAAAAATAGTATTATGTCTAGATGCAGCAAATGTTAACAAAATATATAATACACATTATAAATTGTAAATATTACAGTATCAGATGACAGAAACTAAGGAAGAGGATTAGGGCCACTGGGAAAAAAAGTGGGCACATTTATTTTTTCTTCTTTTCCAGAATTCTGAGAAAAAAGTCAAAATTCTGAGTTGAAAGTCAAAATTCTTAGAAAAAGTCAGAATTCTGAGTCAGATTTCTGAGATTTAAGTCAGAATTCTGACTTTAATCTCAAAATTCTGGAAACGAAAAAAAAAGACATGCCCACTTTTTTCCCCCAGTGGCCCTAATCCTCCTCCGTAAAAAACTGATATCAAAAGTAATAAAAGTAGTAAAAACTAAATCTAAAACTAGCTTTAGCTTGAGTCCTACAAGCTAAATCCGAACACCTCAAATCTTTATTTGGTTTCTGTTTAGTAATCTAAAAACCTGAAGTGGAAAATGAACATTAGCCAAAGTACAACTGCGCTTGAATAAAATAAAACAGCAAAAGCTTTTATACCCAAAGAACAAGTTAATAGGAAAAAGCTAGTAGACATTCTCTGCTATGGTTTAAAATCTTGTGGTTTAATAGCAAGAATCATCATTAAAGTTTATATAGAGTCAACTGGAGAAGATGACAATTGCTTTACAATCTTATGTTTATATTTTTTGGTCAAGTACAAATATGATAAATTATAATTTTTTGAATTAGTAATACTTTTCAACTCTGCAAGTGATAACAAAATATTTTACTTGATTTGGTCATTGTTTTGTTGATTTAGCGTGGTAATCATATGTTCTTTAAACTGCAACATCAAAATCAAAAACCAAAGAACAGCGATAAACCCTTGCATATGACGATCTGCAATTAGAAAATGCTGAAGAAATAATATCATTTATCAAACAAGCTGCTGATTCACAGATCACTGGCCCATCATTTGGCTAATAAAATCACTAGACTGTTTATTTAAATAATAAACAACTGTATATGATACTGATAGACCTAATGTATTCTATTTTATGTATTGTTCTACTTCGCCGCATCCAAAATATTTCTAACACTCGTTTCTACCCATTTATCAACAGTCTGTGTTTGAGAAGTCATTTTGTTTTAGCGATTATGTCACGTTCCAATTATCCAGGTATTTTATGTTCAAATGTTTCTTTATTTTGTGAGGCTTTGCTACTTCAAAGAGAATAATTTTGGGGTCACAGCTGTAGTCTTTGATCAATTTTGAGCTTTAAAAGTAAAACATATCAGTACTTCTTGTTGCATTCTGGATGTTTGGTGGTTTCCATGCTGTGAAATATATTTTTATAATGTTTTCTTCCCACAGACATGACGACTTGAAAGAGATGCTGGACAGCAACAAAGACTCCCTGAAGCTGGAGGCAATGAAGCGGATTGTAGCTGTGAGTATAAATCAGATGGACACAATGGGGAAATTAGGATCACATCAAGAGTGAGCCATGAAGTTTATTATCATGCTTTAAAAAATGTCATGGATAATACTGTTGTATAACACTATTTCAGAACAGAGAACAGAATAGAATGTATATGTACAATGAAATTGTGGGTGCTCCACACCAACTTTGCCACAATACAATATAAATAGTAGACAACAGGAATAAATAGCAAACAGGAGAAAAACGTACAGTCAACAGGGATATATACAAAACAAAATAAATATATACAAAAATAAGTCACGTTTACTGTGGACGATAAACAAAAGATCCTCATAGCCACCATGTCTGTCATTACTTCAATTTTGAAGCCTTGAGCTGAGTGTCTTTGCAGTCTCCATCTTGATGATTAGCAACAGGTAGTGTTAACTGTGAAACCAAGGCACACAGCTGACATCTGATTAGCCAGTGAGCATACCCATAATCCTCCTTTCTGTCTAATAATGACCATAATTTTTAAAAAATTACTTTAGTTATTATTTAACTGATGTTGTCTGATGATGTCACTGATGCTGTAACGAGCTGATGAACAGTTAACTCATTGGCCTAACGAAGTGGCCAGTGGGTGTAGATTCACATAAAAACCTGGAAATCTTTATTTTATTTTTTAACTAAAGTAAGTGGCTAGCTGGAACATTAACATTGCAGAAAGGGGCAGATTTTCCCCCCTTGAGATTTCACTGATCAGCGGGTACACAGGTGCACAAGGTCAAACCTTTAAATGCAAAACATACAATGCATCATGTTTTACTTATTCTGAGACTAAGAAAAGGCCAGAAGCATGCTCTCTATACCAAAACTGGCGATTAATCTCATGGTATTATTGTCAAAATGCAGTCATTTTATAAAACTGTGCTCTGAGCCATAAGACAAAGGCTACCTCCAATGATTTAACTACTGTGATAAGAGATGCAAACTGTGCAGTCAGCTGTTAAATATTCATACTCTGTCAGATTTCTACTTCTGAGGCTCCACACCCATCTTTTCATTCATCATTCCTGCCGGGCCAAGAGCACAAAAAAAAGCATCAAAAGATAAAATAAAACATAAAAAATGTATTTTTTCTTGCCAACAATTGAAATGCTTGAAAAATGCCATCTTGTGAAATCTTTGTTATGCTTTTTGGATGCGTCTTTTCTCTGCAGATGATTGCCCGAGGTAAAAATGCATCAGATCTCTTCCCCGCTGTGGTGAAAAACGTGGCTTGTAAAAACATAGAGGTTGGTAATGAACCTAGTCTCATGTTGCTTCATGTGCTACAGGCTCTGCACTCTTCATTTTCCTTCCTATTATCTTATCACATTTTCCAAACCTCCGTGGAGTGCAGTTTTATCTCATATAAACAAAATTGCAATTTCCTTCTCCACTTTTGCATGTTTTAATAACTGTGCCTTACTGGACTCATCTCAGTGAAAATAATTAAGCTAATACACATAGGTTGGATGAAATTGTTAAAATTTAAACGATTACATTTGTTTCTTCTTTCCCTCTTACTGTTCGTCTTTCCAGGTGAAGAAGCTGGTCTATGTTTACTTGGTGCGTTACGCTGAGGAGCAGCAGGATCTTGCTCTGCTTTCAATTTCCACGTTTCAGCGAGGTCTGAAGGTACAGCAGTTTATATATGTGACAATTTTTTAGATTTGAGATAATATAAACCATTTTTCTAAAGCCTCGTCTTCATATTATACAAAAATTAGCTGCAATTCACCTAGCTTGCACGATAGTCCTCGTTAACTATGAGTGAATGGCTCTAAAAGCCTAACTTGTTTACAACATTTGGACAAAAAAAAGCTTAAATGAAACTGAATTGATTGCTTAAATTAACGCGTTAGCGTGGTTAGTTTGTTAACGCGTTAGCGCCATCCAGCCCCATGCACGGGGCGATCCGCGCTAATTCACTAACGGAGATTTAATGCGGTTATGGCGTTAACGTCATTTTAATGAGTTTAACGCTGACAGCACTAATTTAATTATTAGTTATTATTTATCTCTGGTTCTCTTTCACACCATGTCTCTCTGCTGTCTTCATCCGCCTCTGTCAGTGCGCCCCAGGACAGTTGTGGCTACAATGTAGCTTGCCATCGCCAGTGTGTGAATGGGTGAATGACTGAATGTAGTGTGAAGCGCTTTGGGGTTCTTAGGGACTAGAAAAGCGCTATACAAATGCAGGCCATTTACCATTTCATCCACTTACCCCCAACTGGCCACAGCAGATGGTCGCCCCTCACTGAGCCTGATTCTTTGTCTAGTTTCTTCCTCTTAAAGGGGAGTTTTTCCTTCCCACTGTCACCAAAGCGCTTTCTCATAGTGGTCATATGATTGTTGGGGCTTTCTGTTTTCCTTGTATTATTGTAGGGTTTTTACCTTACAAAATAAAGTGCCTTGAGGCAACTGTTGTAGTGATTTTGCGCTATATAAATGAAATGAAAATGAATTGATTTAAATATCTGGAATTACTGGATAAATTGGCCTGAAATCACGACCAAATAAATAGCATTTAAAAAACATTTTATATTAGAACCAGCGATGGCAGTGCTGTGTTTTAGTGCTAATTTCCTAAAAGTGGTAAGCTACTTTACTTAACAGTGTTGTATTTCATTACTGACTGACCTTTATATTATTCATTGTGATCATGTTAGCATGCTGAGTTTAGCATAAAACTGCAGGAACTGCTAGCCCCGGGAACAGCACCACAGAGCTGCTAGCATAACTACAGATTGCTCCTTTAGATTTTATTACTATTTTGCGATGAACAAAATGCAACATTTCACCACCTCTAAAAGTGTATTTTTCCACCACTTTGTACTTCTCCAGGATCCGAACCAGCTGATCAGAGCCAGCGCCCTGCGAGTCCTCTCCAGCATAAGAGTAACAATCATCGTTCCAATAATGATGTTGGCCATCAAAGAAGCTGCTTCGGATATGTCTCCGTATGTCAGGAAGACCGCAGCACATGCAATCCCTAAACTATACAGGTACGAACCCAAAAGGACAGTTTTAGGTTTATAAAACAAAGTTAGCATGATTTATTGAGTTGCTAGCTCTTAGTGTATCAGTTATTATAACGACTAATGATCATATTTTTTTCTCACAGTCATTATAAAGTTTTGGTTATTTATCCACAGCTCTCCTAAGGTCTCACCACTAAATTTGAACTGGGTTGAGATCTGGACTTTACTGGGTCATTGCAACACCTTGATTCTTATCTTTGTCGCTCATTCTGATTTTCTGGTGTATTTGGGCTCATTTTCCAAGTTCATGGTCCAATTTGGGACAAGAGTTTGCTGTTAGTCAGATGGCCTCATAACTGACTATAAAATACGTTGATATACAGAGAAGTAAATGGTCAACTGGAAAGTGCTGCAAGTCTGGTGGCTGCAAAACAAACCCAAATCATCACCTCTTCACCAGCATGCCTAACAGTTCCGGTATAGTCTTGGGATTTTAGCAACTTCTCTGAGCATTGCACAGCTTTATTGTATCAGGATAAACCCTTTGAGATGTAGCATCTTGTTTTTTAGGAGCCCAAACAGACATTCATACAAAAGAGAACAAATTTTCTGGGGTGGATTTCAATATTGTGTTAACATACATCTGAATTCTCCAGACCAGCAAACTAACAACTTGTCTGCTTTTATGGAGGTGGTCATAATTCATCAAGTGCATTTGATTAGCCGCACCTGTCTGCTACTTACCCTCTTAATTCCAGTGGAAGCAGTAAGAGTGTGCTTAGTTTTTTTTACAGGACTGCGTACAGTCCTATTGAAACTTTATTTTTCATATGACCATTTCTCTTTTTTACAAACTTTAACACAGTAGGAAATATATAAATTTGATAGAGAAAAACACAGTTTTTATGAATTCTTTGTTGTTTTTTCTTTGTGGGAGCCTTGATTCCCAGTCTGAGAACTACTAGGCCTGCTAGATCAAATGTTCATATGACTTGCTGCAACTGTAAAACTTTAGCAGTAAAAAATAGACTCCTGAGAACCCATTGCTGCTCTAGCAGTAAAATCCATTTTCTTTATACCCTTGAGGATGATTACTTACAGTTCCTGGAACAATTTTTCATGCATTTTTACTGATTTATTCTTCTCTCCTCTCAGTTTGGATCCTGAACAAAAAGACCAGCTGATTGAAGTCATAGAGAAACTCCTCGCTGACAAAACCACGGTGTGTTTTTCCTCTCTTCTCTTTGTTGATTCAGTGTTTTCTCCAGATTTTATTTCCAGCAAAGATAAATACAATTTTGCAAACCACACAGTGCACAAAATATCAGGGACCAGCTGCTGTGCACAGCACCAGATTGCGTTTAATGCCCCGGTTGTTTCAAGGCTTATCATTTGTTTAACCAGTCTCCTTTTTCACCTTGCACTTTTTGCATTAGCTCTTTCTCTGGGAAATGCAACAAAACCAGAAACAGACTGCAGAAGTCAGTCAGTAGTTACAGGTTTTTTGTACCGTTGAAGATTTAATTGTACAATGCATGGATATTGTTAAAATCCACAGGGCTAACTTGTAACCTCCTAAAGGAAGATTCATGAACTTTATCTTAATGTGTGGTCTGAAATGCACTGCAGTTGGTGGCAGGAAGCGTTGTGATGGCTTTTGAAGAGGTGTGTCCGGAGCGCATTGATCTAATCCACAAGAACTACAGGAAGCTGTGTAATCTCTTGATTGATGTTGAGGAGTGGGGGCAGGTCGTCATCATCAACATGCTAACCCGCTACGCCAGAACGCAGTTTCTCAACCCAAACATCAATGTAAGTAAGCAACACACAGCACGAGAAAGCAAGCAGGCCAACAGCTGTTACATTTTTGATGAGTAACATATAGACTCATGTGAAACTGTTCTTATTATCCTTGGTTATTCTCGGTTCTATGTGAGTTTTTTCCTTGTCCGTCTTTCACTTTTTGAATGTGGTTTTCTATGTTGTGACTTCCCGCCTTCGATCTGTTCCCACCCTACTTGGTTCAAGTGTTCCTTACCTAACCTAAGCTCGCTTCCTTGTGCAAATTTATTCTGTAGGTGCAGGTGAGTAACTGAAGAGCAGTCCAAAAAATTTCCAATTTCCAACTTTGCTCTTTCCAATCTTCTACCTCCTTTTCCTAATCACGTTGACTTGACTTCAGTGGAAGAGTTCATGAGATCACGGTCGAGAATTTAAAAAGTCTGATTCATCTAATCCTTATTATCCTTTCCTCTTAGTGTATGTTTAGTCTGTCTTTGTCAGATTGCCATGCGTTCTGTCGTTGACGCTCTCAGTTTAGGGGATTTAATCTTATTGACCATTTTGAGATGTTCATTTTCTTTTCATTGTTGTACAGCCTTTTGTGGCCTTTTTTCACTCTCTGTAAATACATCAAGTTTTCTGCTTGCACTTGGGTTAACCAATTCCTCAGTCTGACAGTCTTCAGTTTTTATTTAACTGAGAGTGAAGTAAGAAACAGAGAAGCAGCAGATGTTCACACTTGAACAGGTAAAATAAGAGATTCATAGGTTAGAGTCTCATCAAATACTTTCATTACTAATTTGTGTGTTACAGAAACATGAATTTATACTGAGGAGCAGTAACACCTAACATGCAGACTCTACTTGTATCGATGAATTTTAGTACATAATATAAACAAAATATCGCCGGCTTCATCACTGCCTGTTGCAACGCTCCACGCAAACTTACAACCCTAGAAATAAGTTTAGCCATTATGTTTTGTCACTACTTTCTAATTTGCATATGAATCACATATTGAGTGACTACGGTGCAGCAGAGGTGTATAGGTACATTAGCTACTACTGTGACTGTGCAGTGGTACAATCATCCTGTCATTTATTTTCCTCTCTCACTGCCACCTGATTTCAGTATATTTATCAGTTTTTATAAACACACCTGTTGACTTATTTTTGTCAAAAATAAGTCAACAGGTGTGTCAAATATTTTTGACTAGGCCCAAATGGAACAATTTTTTTCCACAACATTGCTATTGTAGTAATTACCCATAAATGTGCTGCAGCCATTTTACAATAAGGACATTTTTCCACACTGCGCTCCTTTTTCTCCATTTCATGACTTTCATAGACGATTTAAAAAGGACCTATTATCCATCCATCCAATTTTCTGCTGTTTTTCTGGGTCGCAGCAGGAGCAGTCTAAGCATAGACATCCAGACCTTCCTTTTCCCGGCCACCTCCTCCAGCTCTTCTGAGAGGACACTGAAGCATTACTAAAGCCAAAGCCAAGAGATATAATGTGTCCAGCATATCGTGGGCCTCCTCACAGTAGGATATGTCCAAAACACCTCAACTGGCTCCTTTCAGTGTGGAGGACTAGTCCCTCTAGTCTGAGTCCTCTAGTCTCCTGAATGATAGAGACTAGAGCTCCACACTCTATTGCTAAGCTTTGTTCCCGACTTGTGAACAAGACTGATATGTATGTCACACAAACCTGGTGGCTGCTCCTCCCTGAGTTTGGGTCTGGCAGAGGTTTCTTATTGTTAAAGGGAGTTGTTGCCAGCTGCTTGCTCGTGAAGAATTATCTTGTGGGGGTTGCTCTCTATTAAAACCTTATAATATAAAGCACCGTGCGGCAATAGACATTATGTAAATAAATTGAACTGAGATCAGTTCTTCATGAGGCCAGAAGGACCACATCATCTGCAAAGTGCAGCGATGAGATCGTGGACTACCAAACCAGCTGTATAATTATATCTGCAGCTATAAAATTAAATTGGCATTGAATTGTTTAGATTTAGGTTTAAATGGAGACAATAAAGTAGGGAAAAAAACACCCCGACCATGACTTGTTGTTGATCAGTGTAGTTTTTCTACTGTATATTTGCATATTGCATATATAATTCACTCAAACGGAACTCAAGATTTAAAGTGTTATTGAAATGCAGATGGTTTGTTTTGCAAGAGATAACATGCAAGGTATGTCTAAATAATATAATTTGTCTTATATCATTTACATTTTCTAAGTCCTAACATAAAAAACATTAAAAACCAAATTGGGTGTCATTAGAATATCTTGAAATATGTCTCATATATAAAGGAAACAGCGTAGGTTCAGTACAAACTCACTTAAGAAGAAGATATAAAAATAAAAGTATTTAATGAAACCATTCTAACAAGAAGACATTTGGTCGCTCGAAGGTTAAACATGGCTGAAGTTTCATGTAAGGTCCAAGTAATCCATGTGAGCCAAAACCCCAGACTGCTCTTTGAGCTCAGTTTCAGACACATTCTCTGCTCTTGCCTCGTTGTGATATCGATGAGAGCAAACCATGTTTTTGCAAGGGGCAGCCAATCAGCAGAAAGTTGGCTTAAATGGAGGATAAAGAGAGGAGGAGCTAAAAGCATACAGATGATGAACTGAGGGCTCAAGTACAACATAAGCAGTCAACAGACGAAAAGAGCCAGCTAAAGAGCAACAGCAGCTAGTTTTAAGCTAACATAATGGTAGCTAATGATAAGCTTGAGTATCATAAAAATCAGACTGATACATTTGAAGCTCAATATACATCTGATAAACAGTTTGATTACATTCTCACATTGTATGAGTTTATTCCCTAAGCATCAGGGTCCCAAAAATTGTGTCCACTACAACAACAGTTTTACTAACACCGGCTAACAGCAGCTAACAGTATCTAACAGAGGCTAACAGGTTAACAGTAGCAAAAACAGCAGTCTTTCACACAGAAAAGATCAAGTATCCTTAACAATTCAACTCAGTATCACTGTCATCGGTCAAACGGGAGCTTCTCTGACTTATTGACCTTAAACTCCTTTCACAAAGTTATATAGCCTTTTCCAGATTAAATAGATGCAGACACCTCTCACACAGCATTGACAGCTAAGGTAAAGCGTGGGCTGACAGCCTTCTAGAGATACACGAAAACTGTGGGGCAGATGAAGATGTGATCCAAACAATATCAGATCATGCCGGCTGGCCACAGCCATTAAGGGGTGTAAATTTAATGCTTTTTATCTCTCTTAACTGACACATTAGTCCTACAGTGGCCATAGAAGTTAGGATTAAACACTTGAATTGGGAAGGATGAGACAGCAGAACTCTTAAGTATACATCTACTTGCATCTTGCAGTGAAAATTTTATTATAACTTGAAAGCACTCCTCAAGAATCACTTTCTCTGCAGGAGTCCCTGCTGGAGGAGGGAGGCAGCGGCGATAAGACCTTCTACGGCTCAGATGAAGATGAGGATGAAGACGAAGAGGAGAAGGAGAAGAAGGCCGAGGCTGCTGCCATGGCTAAGAGGAAGCCATATGTGATGGATCCAGACCACCGGCTGCTACTAAGGAATACCAAACCGCTCCTGCAGAGCCGCAACGCAGCTGTGAGACCTCTGCTCTTTTGAATTATACACACACATTCCTGCAGTAAAACTCAGTCTATTGACTCACTACCATGGAAAGTGGCTGTGCCCTCTAAAATCATTTCTTAATGAGTAGATGAGGTCTTCATTCAACTTATAAAGCCTCTGACACTTAAGCATTTTAATGGTAAGTGTCCTTGTGTACAGCATTTAATCTGAGCTGACCTCTTGCTCAAAAATGAGGGCAATTTCCCCAAGGAAATTAATAAAGCATCACAATGCATTAGTGCTGCTGTGGTCACCTTGAGTAGCCTGTTTTGACCCATGTTAGATATTGTGAAATTCTGCCGTCACACACATTATCCAACCTTTGTATTGCTGCAGGCGAGCTGGTTTCTTGTGGTGAAATAAAATATGAAACACTTTTCCCATTCCTGAGCCAACAAGTGTTCGCTTATCTTGCATGAAGTGGAAAAGTCAATCATGGAGCTGTAATTGCTCTTTATGTGGTTACCTGCTTTGCATCAAACCAATGAAATGGAAAACCAAATAGTTTCCTTTTCCAGTGATGACTTCATACAGTTGCATTTTTGCAGGTATGAGTTCCAACCAATGACTGTATATAAAGTTTTCTACAGTCAATTCAAATTCAGTTCAATTCAAAATGTCTTTGTATAGCACATTCAAAAACAACAGAGTTGACCAAAGTGCTTCACAATTGGTTAAAAACAAGAAAAAAAATAGAGAAACAAATATAGATAAATAAGAAGGCAGTGAATTAACAATAAAAACATAAAACAGGCCTGATGGTACTCATACTGAACTTGAATTAAAAGCCAAAGTAAAAAAGTGAGTTTTAAGATGCGATTTAAAAGACTGAATAGACTCTGAAGTACGAGTCTCCTCCGGCAGATTATTGCAGAGTCTGGGTGCTGCTACTGCGAAGGCCCGATCTCCTCTATGTTTCAATCGAGACCTTGGTTGTGCTAAAAGCATCTGACTAGATGATCTCAGTGCTCCTTTGGGGTCATACATGTTGAGGAATTCATTTAAATAACTAGGCGCCATATTATTTAAAAGTATGTAAAAGAATCTTAAAATTAATACAATATTTTACAGGGAGTCAGTGTAAATTTGCTAAAACTGGAGTGATGTGTTCATACATTCTAACACCTGTTAAAAGACGCGCAGCAGCAAGCGGACTAACTGCAAGCGATGGAGAGACGAGTGTTGAAGACCCAAATAGAGAGAATTACAGTAGTCCAGTGTAGAGGTGATGAAGGTATGAATAAGTGTCATTGGTTCCAGTCTGACTGCTCTGACTTTGATGCAGACCAACAACCTGGTCTTTTTTACTTTAAAGTTTCCAGCATTGAAGCTTAGTCTCATGGTGACAAACCTACAGACTATCATTTTTTTCAGCTCTGCATCTCTTTACAGCCCATAAATTTACCAGTAAACAATCAGAAATGGTCTGTGTCAATTCAAACTTCTTTCATGAATATCAACTGAGATTCAGGTGTCTACCCATGCGGCTGCCTTTCTTGAAACAAATAGAACATTTCCAGTTGTCTCCTGCTGTGTGCTACATATAAGAAAGGACAAGGACAATACTCTGACCTGATTCTCCCAACATTGTTCAGAGTTCTTGTTTAGAGGTGGCTGAAGTGACTGACTGATGAGGAAGCATCCTGTAAAGGGTTTAGGGCCAGATTTACTAACGCATTGCACCAACACGAACTGGGTTTGGGTGTAAAAAAAAAAAGGATTATCAGCATGTGTAAGAGGTGAGAACTCAAACCACGAAATATAAGGACTAGAATCAGGTCCGCAAAGTAATGTTTGTGACATGCAATTTACAGCTGATATTTAATGCCGAACTATAGAATCTATTAACATTTGAGCTTGATATGAAACTAACTAAAAACAGAGCAAGTTTTGTGAATTACACATGAAATCAACCACACCTATGAACGCCTCAAACATTATTTTCTCTCAAAAGACTAGCGTGGTTGTGCGTTGGTCCTGTGTGATCCAGCCATTGTCTACATGTTGTCGAGTCAACAGGACTCATTGTTAAAAATATGTGGAATAAATGATGATGTCTGCGACACAATTAGAATAAAACTCAATGTAAACAGAACAAATGCCACAAAATGTCACAAAAAAAACTCACAAAACATATAAGGAGTGTTTTTTGGGAACAGCTGTGAAAGTGACAGGCTAACAGTAAACGGGTAATAACAAACATTCAAAAACCTCTCTTGTGTTTTGTGAGTTTTTGTGTTTTTTCTGCAGCCAGTGTTTGTTATTCAGTTTTGGTTGTGTTTTCTGTGGTTTCGCAGCATTTTTCTATTTGCTGGTGTTTTCTTAAGTTTCCGTGCATTTGAACTCTCAGGGTCACCATACAGGAGTGAAAACATAGGAAACATTGTCATAAAGCGAAACAATTAAAGCTGTCCACTGCTCTTGGTGCTTCTCATGCTGCTTTTTGAGCTTTTTTGTACTTTGTTGTCTTCATGGGGAACTCCAATATTGCTCCATTTCCTATTCAGGCCCACTTTTCAACCAGTCAGCATTCCAGTGCATATGCGCTTTTGGTTTTTTTAACATGCTGCATTGGATCTACACAATTAATTCTGCTTTGTAAGAACTGTTTCCAATGCATATTGAGCATCTTAAAACTCCTGCCTCTTGAATGAACTTTTTACTGCTAGAGCAGTAAATAGAGAGCAAATCTGTATTTGCTTTAGTTTGTTCATGTATATTTAACACATGAGCAGAATAAATCCAAACACATTCGTCATCTCCAGTGCAACATAAGCATAAGGTAGTGATGCCTTGGTAATTACCTGCTGAAAATGAATGAATTTTCAATAGAGAACAAAACTCATTAATGGCCCAACACTCACCATTACACCTCTTTCTTTTTTTTACATTGGGAGGTTATGTCACTGTGTGAGACTTAAAAGTTTCTGTTTTCTCATTCTTTACACAATCCAGGTGGTGATGGCTGTGGCTCAGCTGTATTTCCATCTGGCCCCTAAAGCGGAGGTTGGTGTGATTGCCAAGGCCCTGGTCCGTCTCCTGAGGAGCCACAGGTGAGCTTTACAGTCTATAATTTCAAAATAAATTGCTTTCAAATCACTGTATCGCCATTTTCCAAAATTAAAACACCCTCCCCTCTGGAGAAAGTAACAGGAAACAAGTTGAAATGTCGAAAAAATACACAGCTAAATGGGAGGGGAAAAAAGATTTAACAACCACAAAACTCAGCAAAGTGGAAAACAGTATGACAACAAAATAACAAGTGAGCGTAATAAAATGGATCGCTAATGCCTAGAAGCAGAAAGTAAAATTAAACAGGGAGCCCAGTGAAGCTGAAGTAAGCATGAACTCATAAACCATGAGGAGTGATGATCGCACATCGGTGGCCTGTTGCCTGTAAGTCCTGCACACTGTCAGCTTTTTATTGCACAAGTGGTCCTGTGGCTCAGGGTGTGTTGTAATGGGATCATCAATCAGCAGCGACCAAACACCAGCATCTCTCTCTGTGGGAGAGTCATCCAAAATTCATTGTACCATACCTTATCTTTCATTAGACTTATTGCTATTGACTCTGTGGCGTCCGGGCTTGCATAATAACCACATGGATTTACTGCCTTAAATAATAATGCGCTGATGTTTAACAGGAATGTTTTTAAAACATTTGTACTTGCTACGTTTTGTGGCGTACAGGGGTAGCTACAAACGTGCCAGAAGTTTCAAGTAGAGGCCAATTGTGAAACGTCTCTTGGAATTCTTTTAGTTTTTGCATAAGATTAAGAATTATTGCTTGAAAAAGTAAGCTAGGTCACATTACCCTCAACATTTTTAATTTTGAAATCCAGATGTTGAAGCTGTTACTAGCAATAACAATATGTTCTTTCTGACAGATCGGACAAAAAAAAAGTTAAAATAAACAGAAAACACAACTCGTAGAGATGCCACTTGTTCTGCCTTAAAGCTAGAAATTCAGCTGTTAGCACTCTGGCGGCTAAGCACTGCAAGCAGTTTCAATTATAAGTGAGAATAACATCTTTATGAATCGTGGTGAAATTTAATCCTTCTCTTAATACTAATGATTTCCTTGATACAGCTGCAGAAGAGTTTTGTTTGTTTTTGTTTTTTGTAATGACATACCAAGGGAAGAAGAACAAGTCAGAGCAGGTCCATGTAAAATCTAAAAACTATCAATCACTTAAAAGCTGAGAGATGCAGGTAAAGAATACAATTCATTTGTTTAAAGTGCCATGTATTGATGGAGAGAGGTCCCAAATAAGGCACTAAAGTGGATTAAATAACAACAGGGGAACAATTTAATGGCCGATGCACTTGATGCATGCGTCCTGCGTCTGTGATGGTGTGATTTCAGTCATGATCAGTGACAGAAAAGTCATGAGGATGTTGAAATGATGATAAGAAAGAATCAGGATTGCATATTGTCATTTTTTAGAGACCTCCTGAAAGCTCCTCCTTGTCCCTCGCTTCTTAGGCTGTCTCAGACAAAAATTTTGTTTTCTTCTGACAGCAAAAGAATTACCAATTATCAGGATAATAATCCTCGATTGCTACTTACTCTGTGTCTTCTTCTTTTAGTGAAGTCCAGTATGTTGTTCTTCAGAACGTGGCAACAATGTCCATTAAGAGACGGGTGAGCTAAAGCTGGTGTTTCTGTTTTCTTCTGTTTTCTATTTATGTGTATAAATGGTATTTTTATTCTAACGAAGCTTCACGGAGGTTCTTCCTGTCTTTGTGTGTCACAGGGGATGTTTGAACCATATCTGAAGAGTTTCTACATCCGCTCAACAGATCCAACTCAGATCAAAGTCCTAAAGGTTGCTTTCTGTTCTCTTTTTTTGAAGATGGTCAGAAGTTTTTAGCAGTTTGTGGAGATATGAGAACATGATGGATTCTTATTATTGTTATTTGCAGCTGGAGGTTCTAACCAATCTGGCCAACGAGACAAACATTTCCACCATCCTCAGAGAATTTCAGGTACAATTAAAAAATATAAGTCGTGTTTTAGGAAGAGCAGTCAGTCAGCAACCAACTTTGTCTTCCTGTATGAATTAATATGCAGAGTGGCTGCTTTTTTCTGGCAGACATATATTAAAAGCATGGATAAAGACTTTGTGGCTGCAACAATCCAAGCCATTGGTCGCTGTGCTACCAACATCAGCGAGGTGAGGGACACATGTCTGAACGGTCTTGTGCAGCTGCTCTCCAACCGAGATGGTGAGTCTTTTTATTTGTTAGTATAAGACACTCTTTAAACTGTACATATTGTATGAACAGATGGCAAAATAACATCAAAAACAAGACTTAAAAGTAAAAAGAGAAAAATACATTCCAAAAAATCTAATCAAATAGATCGAGACCTGATGACTGTGGAGTACGGTGAACTCGTTCTCATGTTCTAGATATGAGTTTGAGATTGTTTGATGTGTGTGATGGCATGTTATCCTGCTGGAAGCAGCCATCAGGAGATGGGTACACTGTGGTCATGAAAGTGGTAGGCATGGCCAGCAACAATAATCAGGTAGGATGTGGCATTTAAATGGTGCTCAGTTGATACTAAGGGGATTAAAATGTGTCGAGAAAATATCCCCCAACACCATTTTACCACCAGGATCCTGAACTGTTGATACAAGGCAGGTTGAATCTGTGCTTTCATGAATGTTGTTTCATTAATGGAGAGTCATCGGCCCAGGCCACATTTTTCCACCCTTCTATTGTCCAGTTTTATCCCGTGTGAATTACAGCTTCAGTTTCTTGTTCTTGGGTGTCAGTACAGTCACCTGCTGTGGTCTGAAGCTGCTGTAGCCCATCTGTGTTATGCATTCAGCGTAACTTGGTTATAGGTTACTGGTTATGCAGGAAAATCCCAGCGGATCAGCACTTTCTGATACTCAAACCAGCACGTCTGGCATCAAGACCCATACCACGTTCAAAATCATTTAAATCACCTTTCTTCCTCACTGCATTGCTCGTTTTTTAACTTCAGCAGGTTGTCTTGGTCATGTCTTAATGTCATGACAGTTGAACAAATATACAGAATGAAGTGAACAGTGTGAATTTCTAGTGTGAATGAACTGGTAAATGAATGCTGAATACTTTCCACACATTGACTCGGAGCAGTAGTGATGTTTAAAAGTATGTATTTCATTTCTGATTTCAACGAGTGACTCTTCTTTCTTTTGTGCAGAGTTGGTGGTTGCCGAGTCAGTGGTTGTTATCAAGAAGCTGCTGCAGATGCAGCCGGAGAAGCACAGCGACATCATAAAGCACATGGCGAAACTAACCGACAACATTCAGGTAAGAGTCTCTTTCATGACCTGCAGATGGTAGCTTACTTCAATGCCTCATTCAGTATCTATTATTATAAACCAGGTGTCAACTAAGTGTTCACTAATTGACTCGGGCTCTTGAACCACCGTTTACATTGACGGTAAACCTGTTTCTGCCAGTCATATCCCTCTGTAGTAGCAGTGTTAGTTTGCTATCAACCTGTGTTCTCAGGTGCCAATGGCACGGGCAAGTATCCTGTGGCTGATTGGAGAATACTGTGAGCATGTACCTAAGATCGCCCCAGATGTTCTAAGGAAGATGGCCAAGTCATTCACTAATGAAGAGGACATTGTGAAGCTTCAGATCATCAATTTGGCAGCCAAGCTATATCTGACCAACTCCAAACAGGTGGGAATGGCATGTTTTTCTGTCACTAGTATTTATGGCTGTCCTTTTGTTGTCTCCCTTCCCTCACCCACAAATTGGTCACAACAACACAACAAATGGCTGCCCTGCCCTGAGCCTGGTTCTTCTGCAGGTTTCTCCCTGTTAAAAGGGAGTTTTTCCTTCTCACTTTCACCAAGTGCTTGCTGATAGGGGGTCGTCTGATTGTTGGGGTCTTCTCTCTTATTGTAGATTCTTTACCTTACAATAAAAGCACCTTAAGGTGACTGTTGTTTTGTTTTGGTGTTATAAATACACCAGTTTCAACCCCCAAAAGTTTGAATTTATTAGAAACAAACTTGTGGCAGAAGGTACACCTGAAAGGAAAGTCTGACCCATTTGTATGAACATTTTAGAGGAAGAGGACTTTAATCCAGAATAAAAACATTTCAACTCACACATTTAATTTCACTTCACAGAATAAATTACTCAAATATCCCCTTTGTCTTGAAAATTCAAGTCAGCAGTGATATTTGTGCTAGTGAGCAAAGACACTGTTGTAAAGGCAAAATCTAATCTTTAATTAAATTAGGCTCATTGCTTACAGCAGCAGGGTGCAGCTGGGAGGATTCAGGATGGTGATAGTCTGGCTGCCTCTCCCTGATAATAAGTGTGAATACACATCAACAAGGTCTGCTGCTTCAAATCATCACCATCACAAAAAAAGAAACATTTGAGATTATATTCAATATCCAACGTGTTGTTTTTAAAAATGATCTTGCAGTATTGTGCATAAATGACTGAGCATGATGTTGGCTTTCATTTAGTTTGTGTGAACAAGGCTGCTGTCAGGTGACAGAACGCACTAAACACACCTCTGTGGCGTCCACACACACTCTTCTTCCTGCCTTCTCCAGTCTCACCTGGGACATTGTTGCCACCTACACTTATGCACTGTGTAAATTTGCAGTCTAGAAATAAAGCCAGTGACGCTCTCACACAGTCATTACGCTGCATATCTTCATTAAAAGTGCTCTTATATTTTTTCTGCAATGCAGACCAAGTTTAGCTTTATCATTTGAGTAAGCTTTCAATCAGGGACTCTGTCTTCTTATAAATTAGTTGCAGACTAGTTGCAAACCTTCACCAATCTCCTATCACCAATTATGTTTTTTTCTTTTAACGTGATGAGGTCTTACAGGAATCCATGAAACCAGAAACATGTCAGTGTATCCAGTTATTTACATGCCTTTGGTTTTTCTTTGTGAAAGTTTCATACCAGGAAGTCTGTCTGTGTTTAAAATGTGTTCATTCATTTAACAAACAGACTTGAGTCATTTGAGAACACCTAATTCCTGTTTCTAAAGAGTCGTTTTTTGAAGTGGTCTTCAGCAAAAGTTCTCCAGCTTTCTGGAGGTATTTCTTTTCCACTTATTTTCAGTCCAGCGCTCGTTTCTGACTGCTTTCAAGTACCTGTAAAACATCATGGAGGCTCTGTCATGGTATGGGGCTGCATTTCAGCCAGTGGTGATGGAGATCTTCTTAAAACTGATGGAATTACGAATGCAGAAAAAGACTGTCAACTTTGATCCACCATCCAATACCAAGATTGTCTGACCTGCAATGGCTTAGGTCCTTTTTAGCAGGACACCAAACACATTTCCTGTACAGTAAAATCATACCTGGATAAGAAAACACACAGGTGTGTCCTCGTAATTGTCAATTATGGATTGGCCTTTCTAGAGCTTGGGCCTCAGCACTTCTGAAGCCGTGTGAGCTCATCGTGACAGAAAACTGCACCAAAGGTCAGCCAACATCCATAGAAGGGCTTTGAATGTCCTTCAAGAAACAAGGAGAACTGTTCTTGAATAGTGATACCAAATACTGACTTTCGAGCTTCTTGTTTTTGCCTTATACAGTATTCCCATGTATGTCTGCACATTTCAGTGAGTCACATCTTTTTTTATGTTCTAATAAAATATTACGACACGAGAGGTGGCTCAAGACTAATGCAGTAGTCCTATCCTCTTAGACCCTCTCAAACAAATCCACAGCTACATACACTCCCACACTGCACATGCACGTAACGCAGTAGATAAGGTGTTGTTTTACTGTTCTTCCACCTTCCTTTCGTGTCCCTTCACCCCTCAGACTAAACTGCTGACGCAGTATGTTCTCAACTTGGCCAAATACGACCAGAACTACGACATCCGCGACCGGGCACGCTTCATTCGCCAACTCATTGTGCCCACCGAGAAGAGTGGAGCCCTAAGCAAGTATGCTAAAAAGCTGTTCCTCGCCCTCAAACCTGCACCCGTCCTTGAGTCTCCTTTTAAAGGTACAGAAGCAAGTCAACAGTAAGTTTTGTTTTCTAGTTTGTGAACTTGTATTGCGGCTGTTTGAAAATTATAATGGCAGAAATAGTTTGAGCAATGTTATTAGCGTTTAATTACCATCAGTCATGAACCGCCTTAACAAAAATGAGACAGTCACAATCAATTAAACAGAAAATTGAGCCATAATTTCCTGCTGCTCTGTGTCTCTCTGTACGTTGAGACACCTGAGGCAAAAACAGCTAAAGTGAAAGAAAGAGGAAGTTATGGGCTGTTTTGGTCTACACAGCCAGCAGATGCAGCTGCAGCAGCGGCTCCGCATCAGATATAACGTATCCTTCTCAGAGTCATAACTCAGTCAGATATCAACACAAATAAGATCCTTTTTTTCCACAAGTATTGTGATTTAAGCTTCCAGGGATTATTATCTCAATTTCTTCCAATTTTAAATCTACAAAACAGCTTGGAAATAATGAACGAGGGATTTTTTTCCATGTGTCCAAGAGCTGTTTGAGGATACAGTTTTACAAAAGGCAAAGGTCATCCAGAGCATTCACGCATCTTTTTTGTAACTGTGAGTCTGTCCTTACACCGGGAGCATTTTTATTCTTCACATGAACATTCTGTCCATCTTTTTATTCATCTTAAGTACATCCAGCGGTTTTGCCTGCAGCTCTCTGATCTTCACATGGCAGCAGCCTGACAGTAATCATAACAAAGACAGGAGAATCCACTCATCCTCATATTACAGAGCAAAGTCTTGAGATTTGAGATTTTAAAAGTTCATCCCGATTTCCTCTTTGAGGTCATCTCCTTGTGCTCCTCTGGATCACTTCCAGGGTGTCTGTATTTCCAGAACTCTCCCTTGGTTTAATTCCCTGTTTGCCACTTTGTACCCTCTGTGATACACACTCTTCTTCTTTGAAACAGCGATCCTCCAACTTTGGGACGGAGGACACAGTTAACACTTAGACACTCGTCTAGCTGTTTGTCCTTTGTTCTTTCTCCCTCCCCTCTCCCTCAACCTGTTGGGCTAAATGGCCGTCCCTACCAGTCCCTGGTTCTGCCGGCGGTATCTTCCTGTAAAAGGAGTTTTTCCTTCCCACCTTTGCTTGCTCACGGGGTGTCATCCAGCTGTTGAGGTTTCCGTCTGAATTTTGTACAGTATAAAGTGCCTTGAGGTGACTGTTGTTGTGATTTGGTGTTATATAAGTAAAACTGAATTGAATTGAATTCCACTAATAACTCCTGTTTGGTCTCTGGGCTGTAAATGGAAGTGGTCCAGTGGTCATCGCAGACATGTTGGGAGGTTGAGTCAGTCTACACACAAGTTAATGTTTTCTTCAGTTTGAGTTCACATGCATGTAGTCAAAAAAGGATTTGGGTCCAGAGGTGCACAAGGAGATGACTTTGAAGTGGAGCTTAACTAAATTCAAAGCTGTTGAAGTTCTGTCTCAGAACTTTGTGATTCTGTGTTATGATAAGAGTGACTCTGCTCTTTCTGTTGTACTGATCTCTGTGTGTGCTTGCATTGTTTTTCCTTCTTTTTGCAGATCGAGACCACTTCCAGTTGGGTTCACTCTCCCACCTGTTGAATGCCAAGGCTGGGGGCTACCAGGAGTTGCCTGACTGGCCTGAAGCTGCCCCTGACCCCTCCGTGCGCAACGTGGAGGTGAAGGAGTCTGTGCGTGCAGTGGGAACAGTAACACACAGAGACACAGGGGCCCTCTGGGGGCCCCAAAGAATGGAGGGGAGCGAGAGTTGCTCCTTCCCCAGAGCAGTGCCTCAGAGGGGTTGGACAGAGTCACCAGAGCCTGACACTAACTCCAATATAACATTGATTCCTCTTTCACTGGTCATCTTTCATTTGCTTACAGCTCATTAGCATTAACAGCTCATCCTTTTTGGTCTCCATCTACTTCAAAATGGATGCTGCTTAACAACTTCCCCATCCATGGAGGAGAATGAGTCACAAAGGAGAAAAGAGGATTATTTTCATATTAATGAGAGAACATGTTAGACAGAAAGTGCCTAATTTGAGAACACCCGAATCATTATAGAAACAGTCAGTGGCATGAAGCTCCACCTCATCCTCTCTGCTGCACTCGCTTCTGTTCAGCAGCAGCTCACTCGCCCCATCCAGATGTTTCCTGACAGCTGTTTGAGCCAATAGCACATGCGATAGAGAAGAGAACAGATTTTAACAGCAGCATGCTGACAGTAGTATTAATGTTTAGTCAATACTTAAAACACAAAAGTCTGTCAGCCCAAATCTCCAAAGCCTCCTCTTCTTCTCCATCCCATTCACTCCATGTGCCATCGGTTCATCAGTTAAATTAACGTGAAATCAAGACTTGAGTGTTTTCACTACTCCATCTAAAAAAAGAAGAAAAGGAGACAAAACTTTAAATTTCAGTAGTGACCTCAAGGCTTGATTTTGTTGTGACATGTGTTTCGTAACAATAATGTTGCTTTTTAACACACAACGCAGTAATCCATGTCGTGTCTCTTTAAGTGTGAAGCACATTTCAATGTGGTGCTACAGGCGCCTTTCATGTTCTTGACCATGATGTTTGTACAGTTTAGCCGGTTAAACACATCAGTGTTTTCCCAAGTGGATCTTTACTTTTAGAAAATTGTTGTTTTGTCATCAGGATGGCTTTTTATCGTGTGGTAATGCAGCTGTGACTAAGGAAAAATACGTGTGCAGATTGCTGAATGTTTGCTTAGTCTGTGGAGGACTTACTCGCACGGTGGTAGTGAAACATGAACCAGAGACTGTTTGCCTTCAAGGTAAAAGCTGAGTCTTTTGAAATGTGCTGGTCACAGCAGTAAGGCACAATTTTTTACTTTGAAGGAGAATTCTCTGCTTTTCCAGTTTGCGTCATATTTCTCACAGTTTCATTGCTGCTCGGCTAGTTTTCTCCCTCTGAGTGATCTGGGAATCTCTCAGCGTCTGTGTTTTTATACACAAACTGAGTCGCACCGGCCGTGACACCTGCACGAGGTTACAAACACGGAGCCGTGCACGACCAGCTGAAATGACAGCTTTGCCAGGGCGAGAGCAGCGGGTGCAACAGGCTCATCACTTGCCTTTGCTTGAACCTGTCAAATTCGTAAATATCTATATATAGTTGTCAATGTGCAAATGTACAAAAAAAAAAAGAAGAAAAAATGAAAAAAATTTCAGAGGGGCCATTTTTGCCTTTATTTGATATTGGACTAAAACCACTGCGTTTCTGCTGCATTGCATATCGTCACCCACTCAACCAGTGGGCTAAACTAGCACTCTGTAAGTGTAAAAATTAAGGAATCACTAAAGCAACAAAAGGTTATGAGCAGTAGATTACTAGAGTGATTTATGAGCTGTTACACGAAGATATAAATGCATGCAAATTAGTCAACAAGTTATTTTTTTCCATACAATACTTGTGGCCAGCCTTCCAAAAGCTGGGATCTGCCAGTTTTCCTTGTTTTAAGAGTATATTTGAGCTTATTAATACTGATTATGTTCAGTTAGGTGTGTTTTTATATCCAGTCAGACTCGTTTAATTCCCCTCTTGATATCTCGTGGCTAAAATGCAGTTGTAATCAGCAGCAAAGCTAAATTTCACAAATTTCAGAACATAGTGAGTGCTGAGGGAAGAAATCAGACCGAAAAGCTATAGTGTGCCTTTCAAATCATTATTATACATCATTTGTAGTTAAAGAGCAAAAACAAGCAGAGCTGTAAAACACTCAGTACTGTCCTCTGAAGTTCAGCTGCTGGAAAAACCTCTCTGGGTTATTCTGAAAGTCTCGCATTGCATCCACTCACGTTGTGGCTGTTAAAGTTGGGAGGGTCAGTGAATCTTCTGAAGCCTCAGCCTCTCTGACAGACTCTCCCTCTGCTATACGGTCCTCCACAGACAGAGGAGGTCATAACCACCGGAGAGGGGCGGATCGGCTTACTAGGAGACTGGCGAGAGGTGCCCCTCCCTTTGAGTTTGGAAATGCAGTGGTGTTTGCGTTGATGACTGCTCTCTCTGTTTCTTCCCTGCCTGTCAGTTAACGTCTAAACTGCTGATGTTGGCATTTATACAAAATGATTTACACATTTCATATCACACAATGATCACAGTGTGTGAATGGGTGGATGACTGGATGTGTAAAGCGCTTTGGGGTCCTTAGGGACTAGTAAAGCGCTATACAAATACAGGCCATTTACCATTTAGGTGACATCATAGAAATAAATCCTCTGTCAGTTCACACGAAGTAAGACTGACCACTGTGTTTGTTTCAAGCAGACAGAGTTCAGCTTTAAGGGGTCCAATAAATTGTTTAGTAATAAGCAGTGGGATAGAATTTTCTTTAATTTTATAAACAAAGCTGATTCTAATTTGTAAATGAGACCAGTCAAAATCAATTCTTAATCTCAGGAAAAAATCTTCTAGTCTCAAGATTTACTTAATCATTAAGCTCCAACAGGGGCTTCCAAACATATCACACTGTCTTTATCAGCAGTTTTGGGACTTCTCTTTCATATTGGCTGAAAATTTTAAATATACAGCGAGTTTCATGAGAAAAAATCTTCATGTTCTTATCTTAAACCTCTCCACCTGCCAGCTTGGAAAACATGTACCTGTGAAGCTTACAGGTGCATGCTGTCCATACCCACCTGATGAGTGCCTCCTGCACATGAGATTTTTGTTCGTTTGTCCAAACACTGCCCTAAAACGAGTTTGAAGCAGTAATTTAGTGGCAGGAGTGAAATTAAAGGATCTACAAGAACTGGAAAAGATTAATATTTGGCAGGAAGGTATATTGTGAGAGCACAGCTGTAGACGTTAATCCTCTGACAGAAAGTTATTCATTCTTAAAGACTTTTTCCAGGCTTTGCTTTAGAAAGCAGAAGTGCTGATGCTCAATGCCAGGCTAGTTCTGCCTCAGTGCCTTTTGATAAGCAGCCAACATTTAGACAGGGTAGCTTACTGAAATGAACATTATGCTACATTGTAGAAGCTCGGGGAGCTTCCATAGTCTATAGAAAATAGACATCGTAGAAGTGGTCATGTGACACGTGAAGATAGTACAGTAGTGGAAGGATGAAGGGTGTTTTGCTTTGGGGTTAGCTAAAACCTTTTTTAAGTTTCTAAATGTTAAAAAAATCTACAGTACTAAGGAACAGATCTGTTTATTTTATTGTTTCTCTTTCACTCAGGTGCACTTTTTAGTGACGCCAACATAGAACAGAAGCCTTGTGAGAGCTTAAAGCAAAACAAAAGATTTTGACCTGCTGACGGGGACTCCTCCAGGTCTCCTCCCGTCCATCTGCTTGGTTTTCTTCATGAAGTTTGTGACTCGCTTGCTGATCACGTCACAAATGTTGTCACGTGATATTTTTTTTTATTTTTGATTGATGTGATTTGTTCTCAGATTTCTTCCTCTACCCCTCTGCTGCTCCACCTGTGCTGCTCTTCATTCTGCCCATCTCACCCATGCTAGCATATCATACTTTGTTGCTGGTGAAGACTAAGTGCATTTCATGTATTTTTTTTGATGTATTGGTGAAGTAGTGAATGCTAATGTTGACTTTTAATTTGACAGTATGAGTACATATTAAGGTATATCCAGTAGTTATATTGGAGTATGTTGATTTTTTTTTACCAACAGAAGTTGTCCTTTTGATTACTTTTATCAAATACTGTGTTTAAAAGTTATCATGTAATTAAATTTAGGATTATTCTTATTATTTTGTCTCTGTGATATCCAAAACTGTTCTCACACATTCTTATTTTTTAGCCCCTGAAACCTTCCTGTGCCTGTTTCTCTTGCTCTCCTGACTTTTATTCTGAAAGAAACCTCTTCCTTCTTTTTTCCTCATCTCCATCCCAATCTTTTTTTTCCCCCCCTACGTCTGCCAGGTTTTTACGCTGCTTGAAAGAGTCACAACATTAACAAGTGTGAGTCAGTTAGCGGCAAACAGCCACACGTTCTTGAGCCTCAACCCATATAGCCGCAAAAACCCAAGTGCTTTTAAACTGAACGCCTCCCTCCCGCATATAGTAGTCGCTGTTCTGTGCTTAGCTCAGCTAAAGCTACCTGAAACACAGCACCCTGTTCCTCAGTCTCTACCATTAAAGAAGTGATTCTTTCAGCAGGCAGATCGGTGCTCAGGCACGTCACGCAGCATTAGGCTCCTTATGGGTATTAAGTGGGGCTGAGATGTCCGTGCTCATTAGCAGATGGCTCTGGTTAATGAGTTTGGTCACAGAAAAAGCAGATGGCCTTTTCTTTTTAAGTGTAGGAGGATAGTTACTGCTCCTCAAAGATATCACTTCTCTTAATGGAACTGCTCCTATATTATTACAAGAAAAGCATTTCTGCAACTGGTCATGAAGGCAACACCTGGTGCTAATGTTTTTGTGTGCAAAAACAGAAAACTCTAATGCAAACAAGTAAACGACTCGCTCCATTGAAGCATTGGTGTAAATTTGCTCCCTGGCTGTGGGATCTGAGAGCAGATCTGCAGCAGCGATGGCTGGCTTCTTTTGGCTGCATCACGCCCAGGCAGAGGCACTCATGGCCATGCTATCTGCCCACGTTTCTGCTTCTGTCTGAGGGTTTTCTCTCTGAGGCGGGGCTGGAGGCTTACTGTTTGTACTCTCGCTTTTTCCGTTTTGTTTTATGCCAGGTGCCTGAGTGGACCAAATGCAGTAGCCGTGAGAAGAGGAAGGAGAAGAAAGTAGAAAAGCCGTTCTACACCGACTCAGAGGGAGAGTCTGGTCCTACGGAGTCTGCTGACAGTGGTAACTTTAGGCTGCTGGCACTGATAGCATGGTCATTTTTTTTGATTCAATAAGTAGTGCTCACAACAGGGGTGTGTGTTTGTGTGTGTTTGTGTGAGAGACTTTTGAGTCAGTGTGAATAATCTTGGTAGGGGCTGGTAAAACGAGACAGTCTCAACAAATAAGCTCATTATCAATTGAATTTTATTACAAATCACAACAACTGTTACCTCAACTTATTCTGTGGGTCTTTACAATATAAAATTGTAAAGACCCACAGAATAAGTCCTAATAATCATATCACCCCCTTTGAGCAAGCCCTTGAGATTTGTGTTGTTGACCAATTCTATAAAAATCTAAAGAAATAAGGTCCATCTCTCAATCCTTTCTAACTTTCATACCCTGTTTGTGGCACTCAGGTCCAAGTCCAGCTGTATAAATCTTTAAAATTGGTCATAATGCCCTAAGACAACTAGAGACTTCAACAGCAATAACAATATTGGCTGCAGACTATTTCTCGGGGGGGTTAATGCACATTTAATGTATTAACAGAAGAACGGAAGAAATGTATTGTACTTTGATTTATTGGCAATGGAAAAAAATATAGAATGTTACCAGATGAAAGTATCAGTACTGAGTTTGAATTTATTGTTTAAATATGTTGCATAAAACTAAACACAGAGACCAATCAAGGGTTGATGGTTACAAGTGGATGTGCAGCGATTTTCCAGCAAATTCAAATGAGTGTGTGATGATGAGGATGTGGAGACAGACAGCAAAATTTGTGAGGGAGCGGCTGCTGATTTTTATATAGGAGTGTGTGTGGAGAGCTGGTCAATGCCAGGGGTGGTGACATCGTGACATAAATGGAAAAGACGTAATGAAGAATTTCAGAATGTCAACGGCTGCTTTTAACCTGCGTATATATGGTGCTGTCTCATGACTTCTCGTGAGGTTTCAGGACCTCATGATGTATCGTGAGGCAGCAAAAGTCAAATCAATTCTGCTTTTATTGAGGATCATTATCTGAGGACCACATTTGGAGGTGACTCAAGGCAGAACTGAAGAGAAACAAAACTTGTCTTGTTCATACATGGACCTCATTCACTCCCAGTGCACAAATCTGTTCATCCAAATGTTTTCACCTGCTTTATTCTGCAAGTGCATTAACAGCAACAAGCACGCCTGTATAATTATGCTGATCCTGATTTCCTAATGTAGTGCATTATTATCTTATTTTAACATTTAAAAGCAGTTCTGTGAACATTAGTAAAGCCACGATGTTATTTTTTAAAAATAGATTTGAATCATATGAGTAAAATAAGACACTAGGTAGCAGTTTATAATGCTGCCTGTGTAATTTTCCAAAATGTTTTCTGAGTTTAGTGTGGAATTTTCAGTACATAGAAATATTCCCCATTAATTACAGCGTGAGATGCGGAAGTAGAGCTACTAAGGAATACGTCCCTCAACCTTAAAATAACTCTAATAACACCTTAAGATGGGGAAATATAGAAAAGCCTCATTACTTCCAGTATAATTTTGTCTCTTATTGTCTAAAATACACCAAAATCACTTAAAAATACAAATAGGGTGAGGTATATCACCAGTTGCTGCATGTCGTCCTCCTGCTCTTCCTCCCAGCCTTCCCATCTTTTCTCCCCCGTCCTGTTTAAATAAAGGCTAAAAAGCCCAAATAAACATTTTACAAATTTGCTTCAAGAGTTATTAATCCTCAAGTTTAGGCACTGAAAATTACATCCTATTACTTTTGGGAAATTGCAAAATACGTTGTGGCCTTTACTGTATGAAGTGCTAATTTGGATATTATCCCTGTACTCTGAATATAGTTTTATGTTCTTTTAAGAGCTTCATATTATTCTTACTTTTAGCAGTACTGACTGAAACATCGGTACTGTTACTAGCTTTTGAATATCTGTTGGCCTCAACAGTATTTCACATTAAACAGAAAGTAAACCCCTAAATGTCTGATTCCATCTGATCAGTTATCTTTAATTGATAATCTTCTTTTAAGAAGATTATCAATATTCCTCACTATTACTGCTGCAGAAACTATCATCGGCTACAATAATGTTATAGACAATATGCAGTTTTGTGAGTGCGGGTGTAGCATAAAACACCTCTGTCTTTAGTTGTTTCTGATGTGTCTGCCTCAGCTTCACGCTGAAAGAAAATCTGAGAATGTCAGTTAAAAGTTCTGCTTTATCTTTTTTTCTTTTTCCTCGCCTCTGGAGGAAAAAAGTGTCTGAGGCATCAATAATACAAAGGATAATAAAAGTTTGATCTCCTCTCTGGTTTTGATGAGCTCGACTCTTTTTGATGGTAAAACAGTTTAACACGCAGACTCACTCAGTCCCAGCTGCTTTGTTTGTCAGAGGACGCCGTGTAAGATGTGAATACCAACAGCCTTCAGATCACACTTACTCTGTGTAGCCTTTCTAACCTCTGACCTCTCCCTCCACAGAGTCAGACTCTGCCAGTGGCTTGGAAAGCAGCAGTGGCAGCGAGGAGAGCGGGTCGGGATCAGAGAGCGAAGAGAGTAAGGAAGCCTCCGAGTCTGAGGAAGAAGAAGAGGAGGAGGAAGAGGAACAGAAGAAGAAAAAAAAGAAAGATCTAAAGAAGCCAGTGCAAGAAAGCGAAAGGTAGACTGCTTTACACTGCATGCCATGTCTGGCATATTTGCTGGACTATGGATGTTATTATTAGAATTGGTGGTCGCTTTGTTTGTAGAAAATAAAGTTTGACTCCTTGGGGGAAGTTTGACCTCTGGTTTCCTTTGACAGTGAGCAGAGCAGCGAAGAAGAAGAGAGGAAGCACCAGAGGAAGAGTAAACCGCGCAAGAGCGAGTCAGAGTCTGAATCTGACGAAGATGAGGAAAGCGAGTCTGAAAGCAGCCAGTCAGAGTCTGAAGACTCGGAGTCAGAGGCTGAGGTCAAGAAGAAAAAAAAGGTGCAAACCAGGGTTAACTACAGAGAAAGACCACAGCAGCAGGGTGCATCAAAAACAATCATCAGATTTAAAAAGGCTGGGTTTTCTTTTTTAAGTAATGCACATAGAAGCTTGCAATAAATATAGAAGTACATGACTGAATATAAGGTTTCACACAGCCCCTGCTGTTGTTATGCTACCTACCACCAACCATGTGAAGCGAATGAATCCGCTCTTTCCATCGGTGCGTGTTTCTATCGTTAGCGGTGAATAAAAGCACTTTTAAACCAGATTATTCTTTTTGATACAGCCTGTATCTAAGAAGCCACTAAAATTCTTATAACCTTAGCATTTCAAAATACAAGAGAGCGCAGTTGTGCCCCTTTTCCTATACAGCAGCATGAACAGCGTCTATTCGTGACAGTTTTTCTTTGTTCTCCAGACGGCTGAATCTAAACCTCCTCCCAAGCCTCTCAAGAAAGAGAGCAAGAAAGAAAAGAAAGAAATGTCTCTGCTCGACCTTGATGATTGTAAGTTGTTTTTGTTTCTTTTTCTCGATCTTTCCAGCTTTTCTTCTCAGACAGTAGAAAATGTATGGCACTCTCTTTAGAACGGAAAGCAGTCTAAGCAGAGGTGTCCACATCTACCTCTTCCCAGAACCGTCTTCATCTCTTTCATCTGAGAATCTCATCCCATTTCAAAATGCACAAACCACTTCTGAATTAGATGCAGTTCAGATGCCTGAACCATCTCATTAGCTCTTTTTGAGGAGCAGCAGCTATAATCTGAGCCCCTTTTAGATGACTGAGCTCAAGGGTTTGGTCACCACCCACAGATGTGTCCACAGAATAGGTAGGAAAGTAGAGCTTCCATTAAACCGATGCTCTCCCCTCATTCATAAACAAACCGTCCAAGATACTTAATCTCTCAACCAGACTTGGAGATGCTAATTCACACCTAAACCCCTTCACATTCTACAAAGATGCCAAAGGAAAAAAAATCCATTAGATGACTGCACACTGGTCTGAATTTGGGAACATCATCCGTGTCTTGTTTCTTTCTTTCTTAGTTGAACCTGCTCCCTCACCACAAGTCACACCGGTCAACACCTTCCTATCCAACAGCCTCGTGACCGACCTGGAGGGGCTGTCTTTGTCTGACTCTGTCCTCTCCCCAGCAGTAAGTGTTTCATATTATTTGCTTGTTGACATCTTTATTCTCTGTTAGTGAAGCGATGAAATGAAAATGAAGAGGAGGGGGGGAAACTAAAGCAGATGACAAACCAGAGGGGTCTTTTTACAGACCATTGCTCCCTCCAGCGCGCTGAAGAGCTACGAGCTGCTTCACCGGATCACGGGTGAGGGTCTGTCGGTGGAGTACTGTTTCAGCCGGCAGCCTTTCAGCCCTGACGCCAACATGGTGGCGGTGCAGATGCAGTTCACCAACAGCGCCTCTTCCGACACCAAGAACCTGCACATAGAGGATGTGAAGCTCCAGTCTGGGATGAGGGTCAAGGAGTTCCCAGAGATCGGTGTGTGAGATTGTCCACTGTGTACATGCACGGGCATATGAAATACAACCCTGCTGGCAGTGCTTGGAAACTGCACTGTTCATTACACCAGATAAAACAGACGTACTTGTTGCAGATGTCGGTGTTTTTTCTATTACAATAATTTTGCTTCAGGGAAAGCTGTAAATAAGATGCTGAATTTTTGTGACTATGAAGTTGAAAATTCTAATTTAAGTTTGTTCATAGACAAGAAGGGGACCATCAGCCTGCTACATATTAAAATATACATATCAGCACATTTAAATTCCTCCATTAAACTTATTATCAACATGAAATACAAGTTTGATGGATTTCTGTCCTTTCACCTAACAGCAACAGGTTGCAAGCTGCCTCTATGACCTGTACACGGGCAACCACATAGACACCAGTATCCTGATAATTAGTGTTAAGCCACAAACTGATAGAACACTGTAACTTTGTTCACCAAAATGTCTTGAACTAGCTCTGCCACTCAGTAACCAATAATATTACTCATGTAATTCTATCAAAAAGCTGCAAAACACCATAAATATGGGCGCAGTGGTTACAGTTCAGTGACTTGAATGTCCCTACCTGAGGCCTGACATCAGCTACAGCTACAGCCGGCACACATGCCACGAGTTATGTGCCCTTAAATTTAAACCTTAATAAAACCCAGTCTGTAAATAATGTTGCCTTCATCACTCGAGTTGGGCATTTTAACATGTCCATCAGGGTTGACTTGACTTAGAGAAAAACAAAGTGTGGCAGTTTTGAAGTTGTCAGCAGCGCCTCCATCTCAGTTTTCTTCTTAGAGGACACTTTTTGTACAAGGACGTCTCAGATGTTTCAGTATGAACATTCACATCCTAATCTTTGTCTCGGTTTTTCATGTGACTTTTAAGAGTTGTGCCTGTTTTTTGTGTGGAAACACTAAAGGCTTTTTCTTTCCTCCATGTCCACAGAGCTACTTCCGGCAGGTGAGACGGCCACAGCTGTGATGGGCATCGATTTCTGTGATTCAACGCAAGCAGCAAACTTCCAGCTGTGGTGAGACGGACTCTTGATTACAGAGGGTAGACCTCCTGTGCAGTCCTGCTTCTGGTTGCCGGTCTGCTTCATTTTTGGGATTTGCTAGATTTGCATTTGCTCTGCAGCAGTTAGTCTGCTAAGCCACTGATACGTTGATATACAGACAGGAAGTTAGTTAATTATTTGGAAAAACTCTTGATTCGATTCAGTTCACGTTTAATAATATCAGAGAAAACACTCCAGTGGTTTCTGAATTTCTATAAAGCTACAGGCAGTCATTTTTGAGGTTAATGGGAAAAAAATTTGTTTTACTTATAAATATACACAGATTATTGTGCAATTATGTCTTCCAACAAACTGATGTGCTTTTCATTAATAAGTATATAAGACCGGCTCCGGTCCAAGCCCAACACTTGGATCTGCTTCAAAGAAAGTTTCACTAACACCAGTTAAAAGCAGCTATCTGAGGCTAGCATCAACACTTAACTAGGGTGACCAACCGTCCACTTTTACTGGTGTCAAGCCAGCCTCCACTTTGTTTTACGTTCCCTGTGTATTCTGAGTATTATGGCAAAAGACGTGGAAACCTGATTTCAAAATAAAAGCTCCTGAAGCATGATTTCAAAATGAAGGCAGACTTCCAGTAAATTAAGAGCACATTCACAAATATCAATTAGTCTTGTTTGCACACTCTAATGTTGGATACAAATGACATACCCCAGTATTCTAGTAGCAACATGCCAATATTAAAGCCATCTCCTTTTGGATTTCAAAGTAAAAGCCCTCTGAATGTTTATTTTTGAACTACTCTTTTAATTAATTCAGAATGGAAAACTCATGTTTCCACAGACTAGTTGCAGTCTATATTGAGTGTATACAACCCCATAGTGATACCATGTCAATATCAATCATTCTTATTTTGCCTTTCAAAATAATGGCCCTTTCAAATTGACCATATATCGGTGTGCGTTTTCAATGACTTCAGAAAGCTCTAAAATGGAAAAATGCTGTTTATTTTGTCTGGCTCCTATATTGATGAAGTCAACACCATCACAGTTTAAGAACTATCAACCAAATGCCATCATGCGAGATGAAAGTGCCAGGGAGCCAAATTCTCATTTATCTGAGACTGCAATTTAAAACATCTACTGACCCACACAAGGGCCAAGGCAATGTTGTTCTCAGCAAGTATCTGGTTAGACACCATGTTTCGAAGGCCTTTGGTAATTGTGTTATGTTTAAATTTTGAAGCCAAATATTACAGGTCACCATGGCATTATGATTTTAGTTTAGCTAATTGATTCGTGTAATCTGGCGTCATAGATAAATACATAAAAACTACAATCTCTAGTGTTTCTAAACAATACTGCTTCAGGGAAACACCTATAAATTGAAAATGTTGAAAAAGTCCTTAAAAAGAAGTCTATTATTAATTTCTGCAACTGAAGACTTTCATAAATACTGTAGAATCCGTTAGCTTCATTCATCCATTCACTTCCACTTATCCTATCCAGGGTCGTGGGGGGTGCTGGAGCATATATCCCAGGGAGAGGCAGGGTACATAGGGTGAGAGGCAGGGTACATAG